TAGAGACAAGCCTGGTGGTGCACATCTGTAGTCCCAGGTACTTAGGAGGTTGGGGCAGGAGAATTACAAGTTCAGGGCCAGCCTGAACCACTTAGAAAAACCTGTCTGGAAAACAAAGAAAATCACAATAGAAGCTCTTAGATTTTGAACACATAGTCTCCTGTGGGTCAGTGGTCAAATGTTAGAGTCTTGGTGAAGCTGTTAAAAGCAGGTAAGCTCTGTGAGGCCAGAAATCCTGCCTGTCTTACTCGTCACTTACCTACGGGTCTTACACAGACCCAGAATTATTATCAATAAATGCTCAGTGGTTGGATGGATGGACAAACAGATGAATGGATGGGTGGATGGATGGATGGATGGATGGACGGATGGATGGATGGATGGGCCAAAGCCAAAACAGTTCTATCCTTCACTTACAAAGACAACCACCCCCGGAGAATTGATCTCTAGTGCCTCTCTGTCAGGAAACGGTATCTGTCATCTATCATGGTATTTGAGACAAAACTTTAGGTGTCTCTTTGACTAACCTTTTCTCACTCACTTTTCACAATTTAACCAGCTCTGTCAATTCTACCTCCAAAATTTTAGCTTATGAATCTCCCCCAACACCTTTTATCTTTATATAGGCCCTTCCCAATTCTCTCCTGGATTCTTATATCACATTCAAACTAGTCTCCAGTCTCTGTTTCACTCCTTCCAGTCCATTCTCCACAGCTGCACAGAATAATCTTTAAAAAATACAAATATGCCAGACACATTAATGTATGCCTATAATCCCAGCAACCTGGGAAGCTGAGACAGGAGGATTGCAAATTCAAGGCCAGCCTGGGCAACATCAAGAGACCCTGTCTCAAAATAAAAAAAATTAGAAGGACTGGGGATGTAACTCAGTGGTAAAGTGCCCCTAAGTTCAATCCTCAGTACCAAAAAATATAAAAACCACAAATCTAATCAAGTCACTACTACCTCCACCACCCCCATTTTGACCTAAGGTTGGTCCATGACTCCCTATGGACTTTAAGATCAAACCCAGACACCTAAGAGCAGCATCTCTGTCTTCACAATCTTGCCCCAGTCTGCCTCTCCAACCAAACCTGGCCAAGCCCCACCTTGAGTTCTAATTCATTGCCTGGTGCTATGGTTTAAATGTGGTTTGTCCCCACAAAACTCATGTTGAGCCTTGGTTCCCCATGTTAATGATGTTGAGAGGCGGGGGTGGGGGGTGGCCTTTAAGAGGTATTTGGATTATAAGGGATCCATCTTCATGAAAAAAAATAATGTAGTTCCCTTGAGAGTGGGTTTTTGTAAGGCAAATTCAGCTTCCTTAATTTGTTCTTTCTTTTTCCTTGATTTATTCTTGCTTCCTCTCAAACACGTGTTCCTTCCACACACACCCACTTCCCCTTTTTGCTTTCCCACCATGATTGTTGCAGAAGTCAAGCCAGCACCATGCTCTTGGAACTATGAGCTAAATAAACCTTTCTTTACAAGTTACCCAGTGTCGGGTATTTTGTTAATAGTAATGGAAAACAAACACCTGGGCTTCTTCCTCTTCCTGGAATGCTTGTCCTCCGCCTTCTCTGCTTTCCTTGCACATCCTACTGACCTCTACTTGGCATCCCGCATAGGATGCTTGCTGCAACTTCCCCTGACCCGTCTAAGATTTGGTCTATGCACTGGGGTATATCCCTCCTCTGTTATACCCCAGTGCATAGTACTCAGTGCATCACAAAATGATCTGCTTCCTTATCTGTCCTTTCAGATGCCTGTTTTGTGGAATGCTGCATTTGTTGTGGATAACATCTAGTACACCCTTTCCTGGTCTCTGGCTCAATGAATGTTTGTTGAATTATAAATATTTTGTCTCACATCAAACCTGCACTTTCTCAGAAGCATATTTGCAATCACATCATATCTTTGGCTAATCATGTGACTAGTCAAGATAATGAACCAAGAATTTGAGTGTGGTCTATGATTCTGAAAAAAAATCCTATTAAATTAGTCACGAGGGGGAACATACATTTTAGCCAAAAGTCAAGACACTTGATCTAACAAATATAATTACATGTTTTTCTTGCTTATAAAATTATGACTATATTATATCTATAGCTACAAAATAAGATCTATCATTTTTGCTCTTTTATACAAATATGTCAACTCAAAAGAACTGAACTAATACTTGCTAATAGTAAGTAGCTAACGTTCTTGGTAAGCAATAAGTATTATGTGCGGCACTTTGCTATTATTTAATCTTCTCAACTATCCTTTGAAGCAGATCTTATTATCTCCATTTCACAGATGAGAAAACTGAGGTTTAAAGAGATCAAACAACTTTCCAGAGGTAGCACAGTGGCTGAGTAGTGCAGTTGATTCCCTCTGTCCTTCTTCAATACTGACCTACCCATGACTTCTTCACTTTATTAGATCATCAGGAGAACCATGTGTGAGAAAAAAAAAATAGCTGTGGCTTCCGGAAATTTTTATTAAAACTCTAAATCTCCTGGCAATAACTTTCAAAAGCCATGATTCAGACCAGCAGTGGTACTTGAAAATGGAATCACAGTACAAGTCTTCTGGCCACAGAGATGCTCTTGCTGCCAGAGAGGGATGCTCAACCTTGGTGTTATGATGATCTGTGTTGTTCCCGTTACTTGGTCTCTTCCACCATTGACTGTTGAAAGGCAACTGACTCCCGTTCTCTCCTCCCTGAGAAGTCCACTCCTTTAGGCCTAATGAGTTCTGTTCTTGTCCATGGTGTTCATGCACTGGATCTACAGCAATGTTTCTCAAAGTCCTGTCCACTGACCATACACATAACGATCACCAGGACATTCATAAAAATGCATATTCTTGGGCTCCACCCCACAACACCACAGATAGTCCCCACAGATTGAAGGCCTGGAAGCAGTGTTTTAATCACATTCCCTAGGAGATTTGTATGCATACTAACATTTGAGAACTATGGGTGGAGTCTCCATATCCTTATAACCAGCAGTGTTATAAAATGATCAGCTGCTCCAACCCTGAATCTGCATTTTCACACATTTCTGTTCAGAGAATCCCTAATCCAGAATAATGCTTGCCCGTGTTTTTTAACAACAGAGCATGCTTAAAAATGGAAAATATTTATTCCTGACATTGAGAATACAGATGAGAATGTTTTCTGGGGCTCAGCCTGCCCCAGTCCCTACCTGCCACCCTGGAGGCAGAGGAGAGCCGTATATCAGGCACACACATCATGGCACAGTAGATGAGAAGCACTGGTCTAAATTACTCCCAGTCCTTCCAACTTTTTTATGAGGCCTAATTCCCTACACCTTACTTACTCTTATTTCCTTCTTCATTTATCAGGTATTTTTATGCACACTAATGGTCAAAAAGTCTACTTCCCAGGTGGGTGTGGTGGTACACACCCCTAATCACAGTGGCTTGGGAGGCTGAGGCAAGAGGATTGCAAGTTTAAGGCCAGCCTCAGCAACTTAGCAAGGTCCTAAGTTTTTTGTGTTTTGTTTTGTTTTGGTGCTGGGAATTGAACTCAGGGCCTTGTGCAGGCAAGCCAAGCACTCTACCAACTGAGCTATATCCCTAGCCCAAGGTCCTAAGCATCTTAATGAGACCCTGTCTCAAAAAAATAAGGACTGAGGATGTGTATCAGTGGTAAAGCAGCCCTGGGTTCCATCCCTGGTACAAAAAAAAAAAGCGCTAATTCCCAACCAGTAAGATCTTAGAAATCTTCATACAAATGGAAGAATATAGTCTCACCTCCAAGTTCTGGGTAGACTGTTGAAGAAATGCAGAGAAAATGTCTGTCATTTTGATGAGTCATCTGCTATGGCCGAAGGAAAACCTGAAAGAAATAAGAGCCTTCCACCCTCTGGAGAATGCTCCTTTCCTTGGTCCACAAATCTGAGGACAGAGGATTAGCAACATTCAAGGTGGCTTCCTCTCTCCTGAGTGCCAGGAGGAATGTGATTTTGTTTAATCCTTCCTTAGCAAAATCTGTCAGCTTGTAAACTGGACAGGTGTCCCTTCTCTTAGCCAGACCCTGATAATGGGGTGACAATTGGGGTGGAAGGAATGGAATACCTTCAGAAACACTTCCTGGTGAGACCATCTGATCAAAACCACCAAGTGTCAGGCACACCATCTGACTTTGCAAAGCCCCAGCTACATGGGGACCCCATTGATTGCTCGCGCTCTCTCTCTCTCTCTCTCTCTCTCTCTCTCTCTCTCTCTCTCTTTCTCTCCCCCTCCCTCCCTCCCTCCCTCCCTCCCTGCCTTACCCCTAAAGAAAATGTCGAAAATTTTTAAAGCTTAAAATGGTGAGCTCCTACTTTGAAGCAAATTCAACATCTACCTCTAAATGAATGGTCACCATGGTCTAAGCAAATAAAATTGGGGGGGGGGGGGTGGCTACTGCTACCAAACAACTCTTCTGCAAATCTGTTGCTTCTCTCTGCTTCCCCCAAACAGAGAACAGACAAAGCAGCACATATTTTGGCTGTGTAAGTGTGGATCTATCCCTCCTCTGTCCTGATTGCACACCCTAAGTCTCAAAAGGCTTCCCTTTGTACCCCACCATACTCCAAAGAGGGCTCTGCCTAAAGTCCCTCTGAATTAGTAGTAGAAAAGACAGCATGTTGTCATTTGCCACCTCTGGTTGATTTCCCATGGAACTCTCTTGATGCACTTCAAGACAAGCAGGACTTTCTCCTACTTGCTTCAAGTTGCATCAGGAAAAGTTCAGAGAAGTTCAGTGAGCAGTTACCAGTTCACCCAGAGTTGTCCTGATGTATAAGAAATGAGTGGGTTTTCTCTAAGTTCCTGGCAAAAACACTTTGTAAATGTTGTTTCAATTCCTTGATCATCTGATTAACAAGTGCTAAAAATGTAAGGTTAGGGAATGCTGGGAACTTGGGCCTCCTGGACCAAATAACCTAACTGTTCCTTGACCATTTCAAGTACAGAATATTGAGCCATCTCTCTGCTCTATGTTCCAGGATGAAGAACAAGCTGTGGTACTTTGAATTTGGTACCTCGGAGACCTTTGCAGCCACCTGCAAGAAACTTCACGACCACATTGAGTTGGAGGTAAGCTCCAGGTGGGGAGAAGGTTTCTTGAACTGGTTTCTGCTCCTGGAATATCATATGTACATTCTCAAGAATATATCCTCTCGGGTCCTTAAAAGGAGAGCCAGAGTGCACTCTATTTTTGGTGCTCTGTCCTGTCCCCACACACATCCATGACCTTGCCCAGAGGCCTCTGGTCGTTGGACTTGTCCAGAGAATCCTTGGAGCTCTGGGACCCTCAGTCCATTCTGGTCCTCAGCCATCTTTCAATGTCACCCAACTGCCTCCCTCCCCCCAAAAAGATAAGGACAATTACTACCATCACAGGGTGAGGGGCTGCTGTGGGGTAGAGGCAGTGTCCAAGTCTGGAACTGGTGGCTGTGAAGCAGCAGAGGTGAGGGGTTTGGGGGTTGAGCTTTGACCAAACAGTCCCCAGCTCACCCACTGGCTTCAAGGAGCAATTCCCAGATGTGCAGCATTAGCCTGATGAAGTGCAAGCTGAGCCGTCACAAAGCCCCCTATGTTCAGAAGGGTCCTTGTTCCAGTGCTCTTCTGGTTTTTGTTTTTTGTTTGTTTGTTTGTTCATTTTGTTTTGTTTTTCACAAAATTCCTATTCAGAGAACCCATATTTTTAGTTGTAGATGGACACAATACCTTTATTTTGTTTAATTTTTTTATGTATTGCTCGAGATCGAACCCAGTGCCTCACCTGTGCTAGGCAATCGCTCCATCACTGAGCCACAACCCCAGCCTGCTCTTCTGTCTTTGTCCTGAAATTCTTCATAATTTTTAAACAAAGAATTCTGCATTTTCACTTTGAACTGAGCCCCACAAATTACGCAGCTCTGGTGTGTTCCTAATTCCTCCAGCACTTGTTGCAGCCTGCCTCAGATGGTTTGCCTGTCGGCGCCCCTCCCCTGGTAGATAAGCAGCCTGCTTCTCACCCCCACCCCTCTCCAGGCCTGCTCTCCCCAAGTCTCTCATGAGATCTCTCCTTAGTCTCTGGCTACCCGAAAGCTCAAACTTCTGTGCACACCCACTGTCTTCATGCTGGGGCACCTCAGGCTCTTGAGTCCTTAGCTTTCCGTGGGATTCAAGCCTGTAGACTCCTCTCCACTTGAGGAAAAAAAAAGAAGTGAGAGGCACCCAGAGAATTCAGCCACCCTGGGCTCCCCTGGCCTGGTCTCGAAGCCTCCCTAAAGGGTACTCCAAGCTTGGGACCTGGACATCCCTTTGAGAGGAGCATTAGGCCAGAAGCACTGTGGGAAAGCCCAGCCACTGCCACTCCCTGCCGGAAGGGAGGCTGTGTGCACACTCCCAGGGAGTTTTCACAAACAAACACTAAGCCAGAGGTTCTGAGCAGCTCTATTTGACTCATCTGCCTGCCTGCCTCTCCCCTTTGGTTGCTAGGTTACTGACACCAGGGTGGGAGGCACGAATCCTTAGCTAATCCCCTGTACTTCTGCCAGCTCAGTCAGTGGGCACAGAGGCCCAGGAGCCAGGGGCCTGTGTCCCCAGGTGGTAGATGGCTGAAGTCACCTACACCTGGGAGAGGCTGAGAAGCCAGCCTTCCTCTATTTACACACAAACACACCACCAGGGAACTGTGGCCGAAGGAGGAGGCTTTGGCCAGGGTACTGAGTGTGGCTGACAGAGATCTGTGTGCATTTTTCCTGTTGGCACGATCCCCTGGTGGGATCTCTTTAAATATACCACAAGTGAGGGACAGCCCTGGCCTAACCGCGGCCAGCTGCACACAGCGACTGCCTGTTCTCCCTGCAGCTGGCCTTGACCTTGTGCCCAGAATACAGCAGCTCAGCTCCCCTGCCTCTGTGGCCCGCCCTCCTGGCTCCAGGCTGGCCTTGCCCCACTGTCCCCTCGAGGTCTAAGACACAGCAGCACTTCCTCAACCACACAGGGGGCTGGTGGCTTAGTAGCAGAAGACACTGGTGGCCTCTGGAGGAATGGGGTTGTTCGCACTGTGGGTTGTTGGGACTTTTCAAAACACTTCCTGTTTTCCTTATCTCCCTATAATGAGTCTTTTTAGTATTTATTCATGAGGGTAAGCTGGAGGAAGGGGGGGGGGGGTGGGGTTGTCATGTGATGGTGGCTTCTGACAGCCCAAGAGATTGGGGCAGGCACCATTTCTGCATTCAAAGAATAGCGAATGTGAGGTCCACCCACTATTGTGTGATTCAGATGGAAACTGCAGTTAGGGGACAAGGAATTTGAGTGACAGGTGTAGAGAGAATGCAAAGCATAGCAGGTAGTTGTGAGAGCATCAAGGACCTCAGGAAAAGCAGGTAAAAGAATCTGTTAGATGACCTTCTAAACGTGGCTGCTCCAGCACACAACAGCCCAGGCCTGTGGGGACCAACACGCGACTTACCAGCTCCAGGTCAGTGAGGCCCAGAACACCCCATACAGGTATTTCTACCTCATTTCACTGTTTTTCAAAACCCTGCTACTGCTTTTATCCCAAGTCACTCCATGGCCCTGTGAACTAAGTAGGCCAAGGATTATTATATTATCACCTCCATTTTATGAAAAAGCAAAACAAGGCAGCGACAGTTAGAAGGGTAAATAGAAGGAAGAGAAAAAAATAAAAAGGGACAAAGTCACATGCTTTAACTGCCTACCCTGATACATCCTCATTTGATAGGAAAACCGGCAAGGCAAGTATTGCCACATTTTTAAGATGATGCTGAGATACATTCAATACTTGACCAAGACTTCTTTGCTGGAAACTGGGAAGAGAAGATTCCAGGTCTTCTGGAGGGAGTTGAGCAGAGATTTACCTACGAAGTGTCAAAACCCAGCAAATCTGTCAGCCTGGATCCACAGCTCTTCCTCCTTATTCTGTGGGACTGTTGGATTCTCTCTCAGTTCAGGCAGCTACACAACTCTGCTGAGAAAGGATTTGCAAAGATCAGAGGACACACTCCTACTGCTCAATTGAGGAAGGAATCAGAAATTCAGGTGAACAGCAGGAGCGAGTCAGAGACAAAAACTGCCCTAAAGCTTACAAAAGATTTTTCCACACAGCATCTCATTTTATCTTGACCCACAGGACACGCTGCGCAGATTTTCATGTCCTCACCCTGCAGATGAGGAAACTGCGGCTGAGGGGTTTGGTGACCTGAGAAAGGGCACAACTGTAAGGAACTCAGAGTACAGATAGTGAAGTCCATTATTTGGTTTTGATCACTCTAGTCAAAGGCTGGTTGGTGAAACTAAAGCCCAGATGAGACTGTGCAGGGAAGTTCTCCACTGAAAGTCATTCACGTGGTTTACAGACTCTCTGAGGTTAGTGGCTGGCTGAGAAGAAATAGGAGACTTGATCCCATCTCCAAAATAAAGCTCAGAGCCCAGCTGACAAGAGAAAATGGCCCAGGAAACACAAGAGGACTGGTTAATATAGTGCTCACTTAACTAGTACAAAGGAAACTAGATCCAAAGAGTTTCAGGCAGCCACTTGGGTGATCCCAGTCAGATCACTCTGAACTCCGTTTTGGCAGCCCAATGACTCAAGCAGGGAAGAAGGTGACCCCAGATCTGCTGCTCACATGCAGACAACTTGGCCAGGGCTGGCATAGTGAAGGGGCCCCAACTCACAAGTCCTGGGATTAGCTTTGTTCTGTTCTTGGGATAGGTGATTCACTAAACTATGTCTGAGTCTCAATTCACATCTGTAAAATGAGGTAGAAGGGAACTGACCTATCTCACAAGACCATTATTTTGAATTAAAGTTTTCAGGGGTTGGGGTTTTTTAATTATTTAATTAATTTTATTTAATAATTGATAGGAAAGTTTACTTATTTATTTTTAGTACTTGGGATTGATGTAGCTCTTTGCCACTGAGCTACATCCCCAGCCCATCTTATTTTTTATTTTGAGATAGGCTCTCACTAAGTTGCTTAGGCTGGCTTTGAACTTGGAATCCTCCTGCCTCAGCCTCCGGAGCTGCTGAGATTACAGGCATGTACCATGGCACCTAGCTTGGGGTTGTTGTTTTATTTTCTGTTTATTTAACTGGCAGTAGTGCTAAACATCTCCCTAAATCTGCAAAGCAGCCTTAAGTGGCAAGTGTCCTAATCACCTTTCCAGAGCAGGGGGACAGGAGTCTAAGAGAAAGTAAGGAGCTCACCTGAGGTTCATGACCTATGAGTGGTCAGGTCAGACTTCCATCCCAATTTCCCAGAAACCCAAGAGTGTCAGGGTAGTAAAGGCCCTTGAGAAGCTCAGTCTGGAGCAGATATTCTCAACCTCATATAGGACCTATCCAGTCTGCTAATTATTCACAGTCTCATTCATTGTGACATTTCAGGTAATGTTAAAATCAGGCATAAGATTTTTATCTTTATCAGGAAGGGAGCATTAAAAATATTGCAAATGGTCTCCATAGAAAGAGGTATAGGGCTCTACCTGAAACAGGTGCTGGATACTTTGCTTCCAAGACCTCCTCTCAGGGTGCTCTCCAATGCCTCTTTGCTTCCAAAGAGGCCCTTTATATTTATCCTAACCTGATTTCACCTGCATAAACAGGTGAGGAAGGCTCACAGTGAGACACCTCCCCCACCCCAGGCTCAGAATAGCCTTGCAAAGATTTTTAGATGTGATCACAGTTAGGTAGAATAAACCAGGCAAACTTCAATTTGAGCATACATTTTACATTCTGCAGAAATATTTAATTTTTCTGCCTAAAAATAAGAACTCCCCCAATTCCTTGATATTTAATCTAATCTTTAAAACAATGTTCACAAGAGAAGGCTAGCCAGTTCCACTAAAATGATCCTAATACTGGGAAACATAAATGCAAATCTTGAAGCTGTTCCAAAAAAAAATCCAGCCTATTTGGGGATCTCTGTATATCAGTTACCCCTTTTGAGGATTTAAAAAATAACAGAAAACAATTGAGGACAGTTTTATCAAAAAGTCCCATTTCCCCCTCACTCAGAATTGATTTTTCAGTATTGTATCTTTATTTCCTTTTGGTATTTTTCACCAAAGAAATAAAATGC